GAGAGAGACAGAGAGAGAGAGAGAGAGAGAGAGAGAGAGAGAGAGAGAAGATTTCTGAAATTTGGAATTGAAATTGACTTGGTTTTTTTATCTGAAAGTCAATATCAAGTGACATATTCCTTCTGGCAAGGCCATGGCACCTAAACTTAATCAGACAGTGGCACCAATTGAGAACCAACAAATGTCCTACACTGTGAAGGACTTTTCTCACTCAAACCATCAATATTTATGTCAGAATAACCTGAAAAAGATTTTAAAGCAGTCAAAACTAAAATTCTCTAAGGAACAATGGTAAACATTTCTATAATAAATAAAATAGTTTCAGTTAATAAATAGATTATATAAAGAATGACCAAATAGATACTTTTACCTAAAAATTGCAATTTCAAAATGTACTGCCTGGATCTAATATAAGAGATGAAAGAGGAGAGAAAGGGAAATTTTGGCGTGAAGAAACAACACTAGAAATGAGCTAATCTATACAGATACAAAACAGGGTGAAAACCAATTGAACAGTGTCTCGGGACCAATGGGGCAAAAGTCTATTTGTCACTAGAATCCTAATGGCGGAATGAAAAAATATTTACAGAGATAATGGCTCAAAACTCTGAAATTTGGCAAACTTATCCCAGTGTTTTAAAAGACTGAGAGACCCATGCTTTTTATTGTGTCCCATATTTCCTGGACTCTCTGAACATGGCGAACAATGAGGGCTGATGAGAAGCCAAGGACAATGGCACGGGGTTTTGATCCTACGCAATGTGCTGGCTTTGTGGGAGCCTAGCCAGTTTGGATGTTCACCTTCCTAGATATGGACAGAGGGGGGAGGACCTAGGACTTTCCACAGGTCAGGGAACCCTGACTGCTCTTTGGACTGGAGAGGGATGGGGAGAGGAGTGGGAGGAGGGGGAGAAGGATGGGAGGAGGGGGAGAAGGGTGGGAGGAGAGGGAGGGAAATGGGAGGCTGGGAGGAGGTGGAAACTTGTTTTTTTTTCTTCCTTTTCTCAATTAAAAAAAAAAGCAAAAAATAAAAAAAATAAAAGACTGAGAGAGTCCAAAACAAGCTATATCCAAACAAATCTACGTCAAGATATCTTAGTATCAAGCTTCTGAAAAAAATAAAGCAAAATGAGATTTTATTGAAAGCAGGCAAAAATGAGGCATTATCTATAGGAGAAAAATCATCCAAACAGTGCCTTTCTCATCACAGACCACTGGGATATGGCCTGTGTAAGTGGCACCTTTTCAAGTGCTTAAGAATTATCCAATCCAAAAACATATTCTCAAAGATCCTGCAAATTCAAAATATAAAGCTGTAAATATTTAAGATAAAGCAAGTAAAAAATAAATCCTATGGCAGACTTATCTCTAACATAAAGACATAACTTACTATTAGACACTTAACAATGTATAATCAGAAATCAAAATAAACATCATAACAATATTTATGATAGCTCTAAAACTTAAATGCTTTATTCCATATCTAACAAGGATTTTGTTTGTTTGTTTGTGACTGTGTCTCATTCTGGAACACAGGCTAGCCTGGGCCTCATCACCTCCCTAACAATAGCTTCCCAAGTGGGATTAAAAGTGGGCACCACCACAGCAGCTAACAAATACATGTGACATACAGAACATGTAAGCTACACTATCTAATACTAATAAAATCAAAAGCCCAAATAATTCATTGACATGTTCCTTTTTGGAAAATGTAGACTTAATATAGTTAATGCTTTTACTCTTCTCCAAATATCTCTGAACTGTAGTTTAGTTCCAATCAAAGTTCCTACCTGAGTTTCTTACTACAGAATTTGTGTTTTCAAAGTCTTTTTTTTTCATACTTAAAAGTATGAACAAAGTACATAGAAGGGTCATAACAATTCTGAAGTTTAACACACTGTGGGAAGTGTCAACTATCACAACAGTACAGTCTTTGTAAAATTTAGGTATTGAGACAAATGGAATAAAAGGGTCATATATTTAGGTACAAAGAAACAGTATGAGCTGATACTTAACAGCTAAACGGCTATTTATTGAGAAAAATATCCTTTTGAAAAATGATGCTGGTACAATTGGACATATGTTTTCAGCAAAACATACTTTGGCCTATAATACATAACTTACACAAAGGATAGCTCTAAATGGATCAAGGATCCAAATTATAAAACAAAACATTTTAAAATATGGGATAAAATGCTATATAAAAATAATGACAAATAAATAATGTGACAAAAATAAGGGTTAGATATAACATCAAAGCCATGATATAAAAAAATCAGATTACATGTAAAAATATAATTTCTTTATTGATTCTTTGGATATTTCACATCATGGAGCACAACTCCACTCATCTCCCAGTTCTCCGAATCTGCCCTTCACCCTTGCAGCATCCCTGCCACCTTCCAAAAGCAAGATAAGAACAAAGAAAATAAGCATGTAAGAAGTCAACAGCAGTCGGGTCTGGAGCTGGGGAGATGCTCAGAGGACAAAGGCATCTGCCTCAGAGAGCCTGACAGCCTGGTTTAGGTTCTGGGAACCCAGGTCAAAGCTGGAAGCCTGGACAAGGGTCTGTGGCCACAGTACTCCTATGGCATAATGGCAAACAGTTTTACATAAACACTCGATGGATATTTGATACTGCAAGACGGAACAGCTTCACAGTCTTCAGAGTTGACTGATATTTTGATTTATAATAGTCACTGCTGAGAATATTGCTTAGCATGAAATGCCAGAAATATGTTTTGGAACATCTAAGTAATTAAATTTTGTCCTAATCTCAAGCCAAATTCTATTTAATGACTTTTTTTTTAATGAAGCAAGTCAGCAACGCAAGTAGCAGTTTTTAAAATCACTCAAAAAGAAAAATATTCAAAACAAAAACTAAAAATAGTTAAAAGGCCTTGTTTTTCAAAATACAGAGCATAAAACTCTAATGTACATTAAATCATTGCAGTGCATAGCATATAGTAGATCAATTTTGTTTGTTTCTTTGTTTGAGATAAAGTTTATCTATGTATTCTTGGCTGGCCCAGTACTGGCTACATAGGCAAGGCTGGCCTCCAACTTGCTGAGAACCTCTTCCTTTGTCTTCCAAGTGCTAGGATGATATGCCGGAGCCACTATGCCTGGCTTCTTCAGCATTCTTTATGAAGAATATTTCATTACTTTTTACTGCTTTAAGTATTACCTAAAAATAACTATATCATAAGTGGCTATTTACACTCATGAATTTAAACAAGCAGCCAAGAAAAATTTTGATGGTTTAATAATGACTCAGCCTTCCACTAGAGAGCTATTCATGGTGTAGTAACACCTCAGAGTGAAGGATTAGGCTTCTGAGTTGCCAAACATTTTAAAACTGATTCTTTACATTTTTTTTATTTCTTTAATGAGTAAAATACTATAACTATAATTCTCTTGTAGTTAATATCTACCTGAATTTTCTTGAGTAGGTTGGCTCTAACAGCCAGTTAAAGAAGGTCTCTTGTTTAATTTATTTCAGACAAAATTAAGGTAGTATGGGTACATGCTACAGTATGGGTGAGCTTTAGGAATACATTAGTGAAAGATGTGGCTACAAAGATTATATGAAAAATTGAGAATAGGCAAATCTAAAAGGAGAGAAAATAGATTAGTATGTAATTGCCTAGGGTTGGAAAAGTAGATAGAGGGTTGGTTGTGTAGGCTTTTGTAGAGGCAATGAAAATGTCCTAAAATAAGCTGCATTAATAGATAATATAGAAATCTTTGAATGTGCTTTGAATTATATTTAATATGGGAGAATATATGGTTTTGAATTATATTTCAATAAAGCTATTTAAAATAATCAGAAATTCTTGAGCCAAAAATTTATATAGTCTGTAAAATAAACTTCATGATAAAAGACTTAGTTATTGGCATTTAATATTCAGCTCTAATAGAAAATGGCATACTTTAGGAGGGAAGTAAGAATATATATTTAAAAACATGACATGGTTATTTCCTCAAAAGTTTAGCATTATATAGAAAAGGATCAACACTTATACGTATTATAAATAAAGAAGCTTTAAGCTTACAATTAATAATAATCAATGACAGTTAATTACAATATGCCACATAATGCTAATTATAGCAAGCTAAATAATATCTGGACTTTCAAAAATCTTTACAATTCACATGTCAAAAATTCACTCTAAACAAAAACAAAGTAAAAAAGGGACTAATTATATTAGTATATCTCTTTTTATCTCAAAACAAAACAGAAAAATGTTCTTTCTTTCCTAAGCTAAATATAATAGTCTGTGAATTATAAGATCAAGCAAGCAAACTGTATGTTTTCTAAAATATGAGTATCCTTCATCAAGTTTTATACTTAGGGCAGCTAAAAGACCTATGTGGAGGATCAGCATTAAACCCAAAGGACAGGTAGCGCAAGGCAAGAAAGAAGGCAATTCCCTCGTGTCTTTTGCAGGTCACTACCAAGGACCATGTTAGCAGATCCACACCAGACCCTTAACAGGCAGTTCTGCTGCTTCCAGTAATTAGCTTGGACAGCTCTGGCTCCAAGAGTAGCAGCAAGGCTACACCATAATGAGCTCAGCTGGGATTAGCAGGACAGGGCAGGGAACCAAGAGAGCTCAGGCATTCTGCATTGCGTATATATCTAGGAGATCAAACAAGGATGGCTGGCTAGGTTATCCCCTCTCCACCTCATTCCAAAAATGAAGCACGGCAGTGTCTAAAATACAGGCTAATGAAGAGCGACACCCTCTACAGATGAGAGCCACATTAATTAACACAATCCCTAGATCATATTATTTAGCTTCTGTTGGTGCTAACAAATGTGCAACTTGTTATTTCATAATTATATATATATGAATATATATACATACATATAGTTTTTATTAATCTCAGATAATTTCATTTTCAAATTTTAAAATAGACTTCTGTAATAAGACTGTGAGTAACAAGAAAACTTTCAGATTATTTATCCAGTTTTCTATTGTTACAAAGAAACTTACTTTTGAACCATCAACTCTCGATTTTCTCTTTTGAAATATGCCAGTTCGTTCCACACAGCATCAGAATCTTCTTGTCGAAGTTGTTGAGGATGTGCTCGCTTCATTTTTCTAGTTTCACTCCTGCTTTTAAAATGAAAAATTTACAGCATATTCAAAGTGCTATAAAGTTTATTTATACATTCCTTAAAATCCAGAACTATGCAATGACCAAATCTCAATTACTAATTTAATTTTACTATTTCTTGGATGACTTTCCTAATACCTAAGCATGTCAAAATTAAAGTCCTATATCATAATTTCCTAAAGTTAAATTGCTACCATGAAAAGCAAACTTTTAAGTAGACATATGATATTAATAAACCTAAGGGTTTATTTCTCTCATTTATTCTAGTATAATAGCAATAAAACATACACTGTAGGATTACAAGTCTACAAAAAAAGACACGAGAAATTGATTCATCTAGAATTTTCTGACATCCAATCTGCATGTGGTAAAGAAGCCTTATCACAGACAAGTTATTAATAGTGACTATGTCAGAAAGCAGATTGCCCTCTTGTAGGTGTCACTGCAAGCTGGGCGAGCTGAGGTTAAAGCTAGGGAAAGCCGCTTCATCACTGCTTCACTGAAATGCAACGTGAAACATTTCCCATTCATTAACAGAAATGATTAGATGTGACAATTATCTACAACTGAGGCCAAATGCCCTTTATAGCTTCATTCTCGGTGCATAAAACAAACTTCGCTTTTAGTTTTTAAAAGTGCTGTACTGGCCAATTTAGAAACTACTTCTCTACAGAACAGACCAATGTGTATCATCAACAGTGCCCTAAAGGATCCATCTCAAAGTGGGAGGGAAGTAGATTTTCTATGCTCATTCAGTCCTTTGCCCTCTGTTGATACTGTTAACAAGGGAGCAACTTACGACTAACCAAGATCTGAACACCTGCTCAGAGCAATTGAACTGAGACTGCCAATTCATTCAGATAAGCTGAAGTTAAGAAACTGATGGATAGTAAAGATCTTCAAACTGCAGACTAGGTTGAAATAGTTTTAAGGTAATTGACTATACATGTAGGTTTCATATTTCTACTGTCTTTCCATTAAAATGTAAATACTTTGGGAGTTATAAAATTTTAATGCCAGTATTTTATTTATTTAAAAGCAGTTCTTCAATAATATGAATATTAACTGGTTTTACTTTGAATTATAGACTTTTATTAAGCTAGTCTATTGATAGTAAAGACATACATTGCTCATAATCACCTTCTGCCATTGATATCTGTAAATGATAGGAAAATCTATAGTTACAACTAGCACATTCTGTTGTTTTCATTTGTTATGGTCTCCACTAAAATATTCACAGTAAAGATTTGACTACCAAATAATTTCTCTAAAACCAAACAAAAGCCATTAAAACACCTATATAATGCTCTCCACTCCATTTAATATTTAGGGGAATGCCTTTATGAGCTATGTAACTCACATGCTACTGTCTTCTTCCCACTGCTTTAATTGCTCTTTTACTGCTCTGTAGTTGGTATGTAACATCTGTAGCCTTTCCTTGCGTTTTTCATGGGCATCTCTTAGCTCATCGTTTTCTTGGCTCTATAGAATACAAAAAGCACGTGTATTAGTATGAAACACTATTGATATAATGATTCAAAAATTACTCATCTAGAGACAAAATTTGAGGGAACACGTGTGTAAACATGAGTACATTTATAATACTTATTTCAGCCAAAACCATTTTTCCTGTAGTCAGAGAACAGGCTTGATCAACTTAACCTATTCACTGCATTTTTAGATCACATTTTATATGTCAAATTAGTTTCATTCTTTTTCTTGCTATTAGTTCATAGACAATCAAATGTTCAAAAATTTACTTCAGAAACACTTTTTCTATCAACAACACAAGGATTGTTCATACTAAGTGAAAATTATTTTATTAAAGATATAAGGATATTACTCACAGTAGGAGCAATTCTTAAGGCCATAGAACCATAATTCACAAGTAATAACACACAGGATTTCACAGCAGGAAAAGAAAGGATGGACATATGCTACAAACAGTGTAATTTAACATTTGGGTGCTACCATGAATACTGGAAAGGGGAGAAATAATCGTACTGATTTTTAAAAAGTTAAAATAAAAATCAAAGCATTTACTTGTGACATCAACACATAGATTAAATTATACCAGTCAACCACGTTAAAGTGTATAGCAAATGAGAGAACTATTCATTAGATCCAGCCATATTACACAGTCCAATCTCCTGGACCTTAGAAAATGCATTTATGTTACTATACTATTTATGAACTGTGTTTCTCCAACTAAAACATGTAATCTCCTGAGCCTTTTTGTGCCCCAAGGGAACTACAGATGAAAATTTATAAAAGCAATCAAGGACTGCAGAGGTGGCTCAGTAGTTCAGAGTGCTTACACCCACATGGTAGCTCACAACCCTTTGCAACTCAAATTCAACAAGATCTGACACCTTCTTCTGGCCTTCGTGGGCACCAGACACGATACATACATACACACATACAGGTAGGCAGGCAGGCACACACACACACACACACACACACACACACACACACAGAGAGAGAGAGAGAGAGAGAGAGAGAGAGAGAGAGAGAGAGAGATTCAGGCAAAACACTCATACTCACAAAATAAGAGTATGAGTCTTTAAAAGCACACTATTTCTATATGGTAAACTTCTGTGGTTAATTGCTTGGGGAAACAGGTACTCTCTAGCTTAAAGTGATGCAAAATCAGTAGGCATTTGGAACTCAGATTTGAATTCCATTCTGAGAGATTTTTCTATTAATTACATAATCTTGCAAACACAACTAAGTTCAAGTTCTTTTTCTACAAAACACAGACTAGAAAACAAAGGCTTACAGGCAGAAGCCTGACAGCAGCCCTTCCCCAGAGGCACACACAGTAAGACCGAGCATCTGTTATCATCCTTTCTCCGGTATTAACAGTGATGGCTTTAGTTTTTAGAATTCACAGCTTTCTTGGCTATTTCCTGCTCATCGATGTTGGAAGATAATATTTATAGTTTGCATCATTTTACTCCAATTCCATCTCATGAGTACTGATACCATTTACTCTGCTTTTATTCTTCTTCTAGTAGAATTCCTTTAAACAGCCATCAGAACTATTGGAGTCATGGGTATGCCATGTTTACAGCAGAGGGAAATGAAAATTTTTCATAAAGAATAAAAGGATGAAAGCAGCACTGCTTGACTGGGGTGTTCAGAAAAACCATTATCTAATAAGTGTTTTAGAATATTTCAAACCACTGCTGCAAACTTGTTAAAAAGAAGCATAGCGTATTACCCAAAATAGCTACTAAAATTTTTAAACATTTATTTTAATTTTGTGACACACATTTAAATTTAGTATTACCATTTCTTCATCTTGTTTTTTCCTTACAAGATGTCAATTTAAAAAAAAAAAAGAAAAACACCTTGATTTTTATTTCTCAGAGTAGGACCACAGGCAATATTAAGACTTTTCCTTAGGATACATCAACAAATGTCTATTCACAACAGAAAAGATACCTGTGACAAGTCTCAGAAATGATCCTACTGCAAGTCCAGCTATGTGAAACAGTGAATTTATGGGTTTAATTACAGGAGCACGGGTGACTCAAAGAGAGTTTCACCACCAAAAAGCCCACCCATGTACGGGTTAAGCCTTCTGTACAAACTGCTGAAGGAATGGTAGTGGTTTGCTGTTGCAATCATTGAGTAGAACTGTGTAACCTTCCAAGCTTTTTGAGATTCATATGTTTTTTTTTTCATTTCTGAGTCTAGAGACTCTTCTTGTGGTGGTTTGAATAAAAATCCAGTTTCTTGATATTTAAAATAAAAGCTATTTATAACACTTGTAAGGAATAAAGAATGAATTAAAACTTAAATTTTCATACTAAACAAATTAAACACTAGTTACCTTATTAGGAATTTTAACAAGCTATGTTAGAAATATTTTAATTAAGTAATTTAATTGTAATAAATGTTTATAATACATTAAGGTCAAATACTTTTCAAAAATAAGTATATAGCTAAACTATGTAAAATCCTTCTACAATAGCTTGCTATAATTATTCTTCATGAGATGAAATCTATCCCCCAAATATTTATTGTACAATTAATTTTTGAAAAATGATATTTTTGTTTTTCTGTTGTAACTAGAGTCCACAGCTCTATAGGATAAGAAGTGATTACAGGAGAACAATGAACTTTGTTTTAATTTTACTTGTCTCTTAGCTGATGTATAATACTCCAGTGCTTATGTAATTCCTTATAATGTTCTTAAAATGTAAGCTATCAGAAAATGAATTCAAACCAAGGATTATTTATAAATATACATAGTTAATGAGAATATTTAAATATATTTTCACTCATACATGCTGTGCTATGGAACTCCATTGTCTTCAGAAATAGAGTTAATTGGTATTAAAATGTAGGCATAGGGCACATTTCACTTTTCCCTCATTCAATACTTTAGAACAGGTAGAAGCTAAGTTTGTCAAAAGGTGATTACCTCAAAAGAAACTGTGAAAATTAATAACCAAAGACTCTTCATAACCACATATACAGCCTCTGCACTGAAACCTAAGTCTTTAATTCCTATTTCATGTATTATAGTGAAAACAAAAACAACAGAATTTTGTCAGAGGAATATTGCCACCACAAGTCACACAACAAAATCAAGTGTAAGAAATGATACAATTTATGTTATTAACTACTAAGTATTCCTAAAAGACACACAAATATTCCAAGGGTAGCCACTGAATCAGATCCATTCACTGGATCATTCTATAAACATTTACTACATACTTTCTATATTTTATTTGAAATGGCTAGAAACCCTGAAACATTAGGAACCAGAATTAAGCAAAACGCAACCTCTAACTATTCTCCATGATTTTGCATATTTATTATTTTTTATTTCAGAAGAACAGAAGTGATTCTTGATCCACTCTTCTGATTTAGTTAAGACAACGTGAATTAGGAGCACAAACTCTGATCAAAAAGCAGTGATTCAGTCTTCAGGGAACAAGACACACATTTATAAAAGTTAGCAAAACATTATTTTTTTCTTCTTATCTTTATTCTTTGAGAATTTCATGTTTGTTAGATGAATATTGATGATGGTGACATGGAAATAAGTGAACTGCTCCCAGCAGAAGCAGATTGCCTTTTAATCTCAGCAAGAGAGGATGCCAGTCTCTGAAGCAGAGAGGTGAGAGCACACATGAACATGGGTGGGGGTGGGTATGTTAATAAAGTGGGAAAGAATCTGTTTACAGGTCAGTTCCCCCACAGTCTCTAAGCCCTGCACAGCTGCAAAGGTTGGTATGTTATCCTTATCCCTAGCTTCAACTTTCCCATTCAGAGTTTCTCTGCCCACCTGAGGCTTTCAGCTCATTAACCTTTCAATTCATGCACACAAGATATTTCAATCATATTCGCCTCCTATTTTCTTGTTCTAACTCCTATCAGATTCATAGCTCTATGTTCCCCTTTCAAATCTATGTTCTCTCTCCTTTCTCTGACAATCTCTTGTATATAAAAAGTTAATGACTCTTCAACGATTCCATAGGGATACTTAATTTTATCAAAATGTATAAATTTCCTATATAGCAGGGCTATGAAAGAAATACACATAAACTGCATGTCCAAGTCAGCACTATTTGTCAACATGACACAGTTTAGAATCATTTGAGAAAGAAATTGACCGAAGAATTGCCTAGGTCAGATATGGCCTGTTGACAAGTCTATGGAAGATTATCTTGATTCTTAGCTGACATAAGGTATAGCTCGCTGTGGGTGGCACCATTCATAGACAGGTAGCCTTAACTACCAAAGAAAGCTACCTACATAAGCGCCTGTAAATTAAGCCAGAAAGCTAGCCAACATAGGGCTGTCCTCCAGGGATTTTGCTTCAGGTTCCTGTCTTGATGCCCCTCAATAAAGACTGTTGAGTGACGGATTCTTGGAAAGATGCTGTCTGCATAGGCTGAGGGACTTATAACTTCAGTGAGTACAGATTTTGGAATATTGTTGATCTGATATCCTAATTACAATTTCCCTCAGGCTATCTTTAACACCCTAAAGGGTATCCTTGGCTACCCAAGAGTGTGACCTAATATCTTAGGCATATTTATTTTGATGTCTTTCATCATCTTCAAAGTAAATACAACCATAGTACCAAAATAAGAAGAGCAAAATATGTCAATATTTGTACAAAATTAATAACAGAACTTAATATGAATAATATGCAGATTCAATAAACTATCATTTTAATACTTCCCAAGTGTGTGTATATCCACACACGTATTACATGAGCTAAAGATGAAGTTAATATCTTTCTCCCATCCTTTAATTGACCTGGGTAATTAATTTGGTACCCTACAGCTCCCTGGAGAACATAGCCTTTGTCTTTGGTCTATGAAATCTTCCATAGAACAAGATTTGTGGAAACATGAATATATGCGACATAACAAAGTATATATGAGAAATGTGTCTTTATATGTCTAGGGATTTATAATGCACACTGTATGAAAAAGAAATATTTCAATACTTGGCTTACAATAACAATTTAAACCTGGACCATTTTCCCCCACCCCACTCTCATTAACTTCTGGCAAAGTATTCCATAGAAGACCAAGGTCATGACAAAAATTCAACAAATATTAATGGTAATAGTCTAAAAAGCAAGAATCCAGAACAAAATATTTTAAAATCCAAATACTTATACAGATCACCTTTCTTTCATTCTCAGGAAAAACAACAACAAAGAAACATGTTGTGTCCTAATTCTCATATGTTAGAATATGATCTTTTTAGAGATAAGATTTATACAAAAGTAATCAAATAAAAATGAGGTCATTAGGTAGGTCCTAATCTAATATCCTTCTGTCTTGGGATGCTGTAAAGAGACACCATGACCACTGCAACTCTTATAAAGAAACACGTTTAATGAGGGAGCTCTCTTACATACAAAAGTTTATTGCATTATCATGGTAGGAAGCATGGCAGCTTGCAGGCAGACGTGATGCTGGAAAAGAAGGTGAGAGTTCTACATCTTGATCTGAAGGTAACAGAAGGAGTATGTATGTCACATTGGGCATAAGGTGAGCATACGAGACCTCAAAGCCCACCTCCATAGAGACAGGCTTGCTCCAAAATGGTCATACCTACTCCAACAAGGCTACACCTTCTAATTGTTCGACTTCCTATGGCCCAAGTATTCAAACATATGAGTCTATGGGGTCATTCCTATTCAAAACACCATACCTTCTATAAAGATAAGATAGAGATACAGGGAGAAAGACATATAGGAAGACAATGTGAAGACAGGGGGAATGCCACCTATAAAGCAAGGAATATCTAAGCAATGAGAAATGGGGAGAGAGTAAAAGAACTAATACTCAGCAATCAGAGGAACTTGTCTGGCTGATGCCTTGCTATTTGGCTGGCCTGGCTAGCAGAACCTCAAGATCAAGCATTTCCATTGTGCTAAGTCACTCAGCTTGTGGTGGTGCCTTACAGCAGCTTTGGAAAAGCAAACGTATTTATTATCATCACCATTACTATTTGTGGTGCTGGCAACAGAAGCCAGAGTCGTCCACACACTAAGCCTGAATTCTACCACTTGAGTTGTATCCCCTAAGCCTCCTGTGAAAAAGTTAACCCCCACTGGGAGGTATTAAGAAGGCAGAAATTAGGGTGAGTCTGGCCTATGTGAGACAAGTGAGATTAGACCAGCTTTTCTTCTGTGAAGACCTTAAGTCTGATAGTAGGAAGAGGGAGAGCACCTCCTGTCTCTCACTGTTGTAAACTGATCCTCATGACTCTCCACGTGCAGGAATTGGTACCCTAGAGAAACCACTTTTCTGTGTTAGGTACAAATCTCTGGTATTGTGTTATTAGCAAAAGCATATACTAATTAAGTATATTTTCAATCTGTTGAAAATCTCAGTTAAAAAAAAAGATTTTCTTTTCTCTTTGCTTGACCATCTATAAGCCAAGACACTGCCTTCCTCTGTCTTTGGCCTCACACTCAGACTTAGACATGAACTGACACAATGAATCCTAGTTCTACAGCCTTAGAGCTCAGACTAGAACTATACTGTTGACACGCTTACACCTCCATTTCCAAACTACAGATCTAGAACTTCTCAAATTCTAACTGTGTGAGTCAATTGCAATTTAATATAAATAAAAATATATACATATACACATGCACGCACACATGTATATACCTACATATATATGTGGGTATATGTGTAGGTATACACATGTGTATATGTATATGATGCATGTATATGTATACATATACATATGTTATACTGATCCTGGAGAATTCAGAATAAAGCCAATAGAAGCCTTGGTATATAAATATCAAAAAACATACAAAAGAAAAATGGGCCTAGAGGAGACTTTTTAAAATACCTATGTTTTATGTTCATTCTTGCATTTTTACTCAACACACCATAGACAATAACTTATCATCTTCTTTTCATCTTTCTCTTTTCATCCTTCCTTCCTTTGTTCCTTCCTTACTTCCTTTCTTCCTTCATTTCTTCCTTCCTCTTCCTATCTTTCTCGCTTTCTCTTTCTTCCCCTCTTCTTTCTTGCTCTCTCTTTCTTTGTTTCTGATAGGGTCTTACATAGTCACTCAACATTATAACGTAGCTGAACTTCCAAGCCTCCTGCATCCTCCTCCTGGCCACTGAGTTGGCAGCTGTGCTCTAGACTCCAGTTTTATCTAGGGCTTGGATTAAACCAAGGACTATGTTCCTCCTTGGCAAGCACTTTACTAACTGGTCTGTATCCCCACATTCTTAGCTAAAGGCAAGGTCCTAGAAGGACCCGCCATGTCTTAGCAAGTTGCATAATGAGTGAATAATACAGGCCGACTAATTAAAATAATCAATTAATTACTATTGTGTAAACAAATAGACAAGTAACTCTAATATTTTTCTGCATTCTGTGTAAATGAAACTATAAATGCTGGATGAGATAATCTAGCTTTTCTTTCTAGTAGAAAGAAAATATGATCATTTTTGTTTGTTCTAGAACAATAGTTAACTATGAATAAACATAAATTAACAGTGGAGAAAAGGCAGAAAAATATTATTTATAATGTATACATAACTGTATCTTGAAACCAATTTTGTTCTAGGAACAACATAAACTAGGCAAAGGCAGTCCTTGGGCTTCCCACAGGTCAGGGAACCCTGATTGCTCTTCGAGCAGATGAGGGAGGGGGACTTGATCGGGGGAGGGGGAGGGAAATGGGAAGCGGGTGCGGGGAGGAGACAGAAATCCTAAATAAATAAATAAATAAAATAAAAAAAATCCCTAAGAATAACTATATACTACATAAAAAAGAATTGAGCATTTAGGACTGCAAGTTGGCTCAAAGGCCTGCCACACATAAGACCCAGGTACAACACATAGCATTGCAAAAGGAAAGGCTATGGGGAATCAATTAACTACATGGCAGATACTAAAGTAGGGTAAGAGTTCAGGTGCCTATGAATGAAGAATGAAAAACCACCACATCAAAGTCAGAGAGAAAATATAAAGCCCTCCGGGGCCTGGGAATAGTGGTTAAGTACTTGTCTAGCAAGTGTGAAGCTCCAGGTTCTATCTCCAGCATAACAAAATGAAATAAACAGATAAATAGATGAGCAAGAAAGACAGACACCCAACAGTCACATACCAGTAACTCAATATGCACTAAGAAATTTCTCTCAAAAGCAAAGCTCACTGAATATTAATTAGGAAGTACATATTTTCAAAAACAAAACCATAAGATATATGCTTCTTAAAACGGGCAGAGAATGAATTTAAAGACTACACGAAATGTTCTGTAATGGACTTAGTTGAAATGTAAAAAATAATACATAAATTTATTTGCTATTTTACTATCTGTTTGCATTTGTTTTGCTTTGTTTTGTTTTCACAGGGGTTATAGACTGAACCTGAGGCTATGCAGGCATCGGGAAAGTGCTCTACCACGGACCTACATCCTTAGCTCCATGGGCTTCTCATGTAAAAGTAACTTACTATCACATTCATTAGATTTAGAATCACCTAAGAGACAGGACTCTTGGCTTGTCTGTGAGAAGATTGTCCAGAAAGGTTCAACTGAGTAGGGAAGCTCTACCCTGAATCAAAGTGGCACCACTATCCCATGGATGGAGGTCCAGACCAACTAGCATTCAATGTTCATTGTTTCCTCTATATAAAAACACAAAAAGTAACTAATACAGTATCTATAAGTGATCTGAGCAAAGTGAATATGATATTTAACCAAAAATGTCCTTCATATATAAACAACAGGAAATTATTTTTCTGTTATCTACGGTGTTGTGTTTTTTTGTGTCGAAAATATGTAAGAAATTTATTCCCAATTTTATTTGAAATTAATGAATATGTATTTCATTTTCGTGGAGTAAATATTTTTACTACTTTATAATCCTAAGAAATCTGTTTTAAAGACTGTTTTTACATAATAATTACATTCAGAAAGGAAAAACATGTGAACCGTATCCTTGTTCTGTTTATATTGATCTTTGCATGGTTTTAATTAAAATGATTTAATGTTCACCTTTAGCTGTAATGTCTTCTCTAAGTTTTCAATCTTTCTTTCCGCTCTTTTCAGCTTCCTTAGCTCCTCTGAGCCCATAAAAGAGCTCTTTGGGGACAAAGACCTTGAGCGTTTCACAGGTGGTTCCTTGAGAATAAAACAAGGACATGGTTGAACTGGCTGAAACACTGGATTATGAAAGACATGCAAAATTAAAGAACAGTAATTTTGAATACTAATAATGAATTATAAAAAAAAAAGTCCTGCATGGAATACCCGAGAAATAACAAGCGGAATTACCACAGTGCTGCAGCTAAAGGTTTCTCTGTGACTCGTTAATGAGAATATTCATTTACATTTACATTGTTTCTTTCAGAATAATGATGTCCCATTAGGGAAGACTAAAGGGTTATAGACTCAGAAATGCAAGAAACCTCATTACAAAGGAGGGGATAGAGGCTGGTCTAATTGCTCTATAAGGGTCCAAGGTTACACTTGATAGGACAACCAGAAACAAGAGGGAAAGGATTTTTTCCCCTTTGAAATAGTTTAACACACTGTGAAGTTGAAGGAACAATATGCTTGAGGAATATAAATACAACAGACAGTAGATCTTATACCATAATGACCATATGGTCATTAACTGTAATGTGGCCAACTAGAGACAAGAATGTGTGTTTATATTATGTAGCTCCATATACCAATCTGGAGACAGAATGCAGGAAAACGGCTATAAAGCTGGGCAGCAGTGTTCCCCTTTTATGCATGTCCTTACAAAAAAGAAAAAGGAAATGTTTAAAATACACCTGTTCTTCCTTTCCTTGGCTTTGGCAATAAAAATAGCATATTTTCAAACTTCAGTAACACAGTAAGCAACCAAATTTGGTCCTATAACTGATTTTAATCTTATGAATGCTTCCTTTCATTTAAATGAGGCTTAGGAAACTACCTCAAAATGATAAGAACTACAAAATATGGTGATATTATGATGAATAAATAAACTCCATGCTTCTGAAAATTACTAACAGTAGTATAAGGCATAAGTAACACTGCCATGGGTACACAGATCAGTCTTATTTAAAATGTTTCCTTCATTAAGGCAGCTTGTGCTAATCATTAAGAAAGGAAAGGAAACTGGAAAGAACCCAAAACAATCATCCTCAGCACACTGTGCTCCTAGGGAACAGCCCTCTGATGTAACAGGTGTGAGGAGGGCTGTCTAAAATGCCGTGCTTTCCACTTACCTGTAACCTTCCTATCGGTAAACATTCTACAGCATATTCTGCTGCATAACATAAATATATAATGAACCCGAAAAAGAAGTAGAGAAGTTTTAAAAAATGTCATGTAAATTTTGCTGATTTATCTTTATCGCTACCCTTTGACTCTCTAATAAAAGAGTATTGAAATATCTCAGTGTTTTATATTCCATATGTCCTGTGTTTTACATGGCATACTGGAACAAAAATGAATATTGTATACGTTTTCCTTTTACTTAAAATTAAAGATATAAGTAACTACGTTTTATAATAAACTCTAACAGGTAGATGAGGGATACTTACCAGAAGAAAGTAAGATTTTAGTTTCAATATATATACGGAAAGAAATGCGTGACTTTCTCCCTTGCCTTGCCAGCCTCCTCCTGACAAATGACTAAGATGTTAAAACGTCTCTACCTTGTGTTTTCCTTCAGTGCTCTTCCCTGAGAAACTCTGGTTAGAGGATCTGAACTCCAACAACTTTTCATTTGCCACTTTCAGTTTCTTCCGTAAATACTCGATTTCAGACTTCTGTGAGACCATTAATGCTTCCAAGCTTGATAAGGATGGCTGTTGAGACAATTGTTATTTAAAGCCGGTGTGCAAAACTCCACATGATTATATTTTACATAATTTAAAAAATCCTGGGTACATTTCTACTACTCCATAGAAATCATAAACATTCTTGGAAGAATTAGTTTTAACAGCAAACTACAGGCTTTAAGAGGTTAGAGCCCAAGCTCAGTTATTATGCATAGGCCCTGGGAGAGATCCCAAGACCTCTTTATCCAAGCTCCCTTTATCTAAACTACTTCGTTTTAATAGTGACATTTTCAGCTAAAACACCAAGAATCTACACAAATGTCTTCATAAATAGCGTTGTCGTATAGATTTGCAGGAAAAAAAAAACCCTTAAATTGAAGAGTCACAGTCTATGCCTATATCTATAATCTATAAATCAATCATTGTAAGTTATGATTAGAGACAAGAGTTTCCTCACAGAATACTCCTTCTACCATCTGAACATTGAGAGTCACAAGAGCATAGAATGCAAACCTAGGGGAAGGAAAGCCCCGGCACCATGGATGTCTAGCCAGCCTATGTAGTACCACACATTAATAATCACACTTCACGAATTCTAAGACATTTGGCAATAGATTCACAAAGATTCCCTTTAGAAATCGGTTCATATGTCACAAACTGCTAGTGGTTAGTCCCAAATTTTCATAATAGGAATCACAGGAAGCCAGTTTATGAAAACTAGCTTTCTACCAATTTCACTGGATGATTTGAGACCACAAAAAGCCATGTGCAAATATCTTCAAATTTATCACTTCTTTTACAAAAGATGGAATACAGAATCATTATGAAAATGGTGCTTTCACTGATTTAACCATTTTAAAGATTTATATACTTATTTTATATGTATGTGTTTGTGTCTGAGTAAATGTTATGTTTACCCCATGCATGGAGGATCTTAGGGAGTTTAGAATAGGACATTTGATCCTTGGAACTGTAGTCACTAATCATGGGTTGCTATAAACTACCATGTGGATGCTGGGAACTGAATCCTGGTACTGAAAAAGCGTCGTGATCTTTTATAATTGAACTATCTCTCCAGTCCATTTTTTGTTTATTTAATCACATTAAAATGGCAAATCATAGGATGTTAGTATTATCAACATGGATCCAGTAACCCTGAAAATATTTTATAACTTTAATTATGTCCCATCCTTCCCAAGTGATATTACCAAGAAATTTGACAACATAAAAAAAGCCAATATATGTACACACATGTATGTGTGTGCCTACCTGGGTATGTACATTCTGAACAAAAGTAATACCATTTTGTTCCTATTTCTGTTTTCCTTTTTAGTAGAATAAGAAAAAATTCCTCAATCCTAACATAATTGTTTGGGGATGAGAGAACTATTTTTATTTATATGCTTTTTCTTTAGGATATCTTTGCATTTAAATCACCGGATTAATGTCCAAGGGTTCATTTACCATATTATGAACATATCCTTCGGAGTTATTTGTCTTGTAGTGTCAAATCACATATCATTTTCATTTGGACAATCTTAAGCCACTTTTCTTTCATAGTCTAAGTGACTTGCCCCCTTTCTTCTTCCCCCTATCTTAAGCATAATGCTTTTAATATTCTTTGATTTTTTCCTCCTATTATAATCAAATATATGCTGTCCACAAATATTTCCATTGCTGAGAAGCTAAACACATTTAAAAGTTATACTGCTCTTCTCCATCTCACTATCAAAAATTACAAGAGATATATACATATAGATGATATGATATATAAGATAAACAATACATAACACTTATATCATATCATATATTATACGCCATATACTCAATGTCATACATTGTTACATTATATAATGTGTCTATTATATATAGTACGTATATACACATAATGTATGTAATATATATTATATGCATTTTTTTATCTGCGTAGCCCTAGTAGTCCTGAAACTCACTCTGCAGACCAGGCTGGCTTCGAATTCAGAAAGCCACCTGCATCTGCCTCCTATATGCTGGGATTACACGCATGACCAGAGCTGGCTACAAAAAATATATTAATATGCTCTCATTTATTAAATAAATTTTTAATAATTGTTCAAGGTCAACCCAAATTTTAAAATAAACAGGAGAAGCATAATTTTAGCTTATGAATATATGTAAAAAGAAATTCAAGGTTCTTTAAGTGAGTTTTTAAGAATTCATGGATTACAATATGATAAACTAAGATTATTAATATTCCTTTTTAAATAGGTCAAATGTTCATAAAGACATTCAAAGACTCCTAACATCAGATACTGCCACTGAAATTATATCTTACTTATACTATTTCCATTAATACTAGTGATGTTTCTAATAATAAAAAAGATATTTAAGAAGCATTTTTTAAAATTCAACAAACAAAAGATTAAATTTTGAAAAGAATGATAATTCAAATCAACATAGCATCTAGAGGATAATGCATGCAAGTAAAATGGGTTGAACTTGGTTTTGAAGTCATTAAGTAGAGACACTTGTATTAATCATCCTATGTAGTTTTACTCTTCATTTTTCAAATTATATTTTTCATGTCCTTCAAATGAGACACTTTCTCTTGACTGTCATCACTTTGACATAGTATTTCACTTTTTTCTCTTAAAACAATCATCCTTTGAGCATAAGTAAAGTTCAGGCATGGTGACTGATACCTGCAACCACAATGTTTACTACAAGCAGATTGCTTAGTATGAGGTCACCCTAGTATACAATGAAAATCCCTGGCTAGCCTTTTGGAAGACAAACCATAGTAAACCACAGTAATCAGATACTATCAATAAGGTTTGTGACTACAAACAGGGATCTTGACTACCTAGGTGAAGAATATAATACTGAATATAAATGTGATTATCTGCATACACATAGCAAATATATGATGGAAACTGTCCTTATGTATCATCACACACCCTTTTCTTCTTTAAGGGCTCTTTATATTATAACAAAAATCAAGCAAACAAGCCTCTTCTTCATGCAATCCTATCCTTAAAATCTTAGAACTTTTATCTTGTTAATATATTTCTTTATTATAAAAGGTCTTGGCCTATTTTTTAGTTTACATTATAAATATAGCATGGTTTGCATGAGGCCATAGTTAATCCAATAAGAAACAATTAATATGTATGTAAAAACATCCAATTGGAAACAATTTCTGTTTTGTTTTGGTGGTAAGGATTGAACCCAGGGCCTTGTGTCTAATAAATAAACGCTGTGTAACATCTTTACACACTGATCCTTCAGGTAATTTTGGTTTTTAAAAATAGTATGTAACTATAGAAGCTGAGAAGTAAGTAACTTTTCAGTGTTGTGTCAATTGTTTAAAGTTAATAATATAAATTCTGCCAAATACAGTGGCACTTGAGAGGAAAAGAATCACAGAGGCTTGAGCCTATGTCAAAGAAAGCCAAGGTCTGTGTATATAGAGCAATGGAAGTGGATTTGAGAAGAGAATCACAGAGACATGATCCCAAGAGATGCCCGATCATATGACAAGAGCATTTGTTCAACTATGTTCATAGCAGTATTATTTGTAATAGCCAGAACCTGGAAACAACCTAGATGCCCTTCAAAGGAAGAATGGATGAAGAAATTATGGAATATATACACACTAGAGTACTACGCTGCGGTAAAAAAAAAAATGACTTCTCAAATTTTGCATGCAAATGGATGGAAATAGAAAACACTATCCTGAGTGAGGTAACCCAGACCCAAAAAGATGAATATGGGATGTACTCACTCATAATTGGTTTCTAGCCATAAACAAGGGTCACGGAGTCTATAATTGGTGATCCCAAAGAAGCTAAGTAAGAAGGTGAACCAAAGGAAAAACATATAGTTGTCCTCTTGGCTATGGGAAGTAGACAAAATGGCCGGGGAGAAAATTGAGATCTTGGGGGTGGGGTGGGATGGTGGTAAGGGGAGATGGGGAGAGTAAAGGGAGAAGGGGAGCATGGGGGGAACTTGGGGAAAAAGGAGGATTGGGATAAAGGAAGGTTGGAAAGGGGAGCACGGAAGCACAATTCTTAGTTAAGGGAGCCACCTTAGAGTTGGCAAGAGACTTGAACCTAGAGTGGCTCCCAGATGCCCAAGCCAAGGTCCCCAGTCAGTTCCTTGGGCAGCTGAGGATAGGGAACCTGAAATGACCCTATCCTAGAGCAATACTGACGAATATCTTGCATATCATCATAGAACCTTCATCTGGTGATGGATGGAGACAGAGACAGAGACCCACACTGGAGCACTGGACTGAGCTCCCAAGGTCCCAATGAGGAGCAGAAGGAGGGAGAACATGAGCAAAGAAGTCGGGACCACGAGGGGTGCACCCACCCACTGAGACAGTGGAGCTGATCTGTTGGGAGCTCACCAAGGCCAGCTGGACTGTGATTGAAAAAGCATGGGATAAAACTGGACTCTCTGAGCATGGCGAACAATGAGGGCTGATGAGAAGCCAAGGACAATGGCACGGGGTTTTGATCCTACATAATGTGCTGGCTTTGTGGGAGCCTAGCCAGTTTGGATGTTCACCTTCCTAGAAATGGATGGAGAGGGGAGGACCTAGGACTTACCACAGGGCAGGGAACCCTGACTGCTCTTTGGACTGGAGAGGGATGGGGAGAGGAGTGGGGGGAGGGGGAGAAGGGTGGGAGGAAGGGGAGAAGGGTGGGAGGAGGGGGAGGGAAATGGGAGGCTGGGAGGAGGTGGAAACTTGTTTTTTTTCTCCTTTTCTCAATAAAAAAAAAATGGAAAAAAAAGTTTATATAGCATATAAATGATTTTCTTCTCATTAAAAACTGAACTCTGTGTATATACTTAACATTTTACAAAATGGCTAATTCCAGAGATGCAGGAATCTATTGGCTGACAATTCACAGGCAAACATTGTTCGCTGAACTGTGCATAGCCCGAGATCCAGGTCTTTAAAAGGGATGGAATATCACAATAATTTAATATGATATTGCAAACCAAAAGTTTTATCACCAAAGTCTACAAAAGCAATCAAC